CAGCACTCCCTCAGTGAGGATCCCCCCACAGCACCCCCCTCAGTGAGGATTCCCCCCCCAGCACCCCCCTCAGTGAGGATCCCCCCAGCATTCCCCTCAGTGAGGGTCCCCCCCACAGCAACCCCCTCAGTGAGGACTCTCCAAGAAGGGAGGGGCAAGCTCTGTCCACTAACTGCCCACAGCCCATCCTCTAATCTGTGCCAAGGGCAAGAACCCTGGCCCCCAGGCCCAGGTGCTTCACCTCACTGCTGTCTGAGAGAGAGAGGCTGTCGATACTCAGACATGAGAGAATCTGCTCCTGCTCCTCCAGAGAGAAAGGCTGGGACAGGCTGTTGAGAAATAGCTCTGCAGGAAGAGGGAAAGAGGAAGGTAAAAGGCCGGCAGGAGATCGCCATGTGGTAGGGTTCAGCAGAAGTGACCTGCAGGGAGGGCCGGGAGGAGCTGGTCAATGCAGGGCACAGCTGGCTGCCCTACCTATCTCCAGCTGCTGCAGCTCCAGCTCGGGGAGGGTTGCTCTCCGCTCTGGTGAGCTCGAGTTCTTGGCTGGGGCCGGGTCCAGGGAGGACAGAGGCAAGGGTTCCCAGGGGCCAGAGTCCTCTTGACTCCAGTTCAGAGTGGGAGACCCCTTCTGCTCTGGGGGCTCTGGTGGCAGTGGTGGCTGAACCGTCGGGGCCGAGCCTGTGTTGTCTATGTCGTCGTCTGGGGGTGAGCACTCCCGCAGCTGGGCAGGTGGGGTCTGGGGGCAGGAGGCCTGGTCTCGCAGCGGGCGTCTCGGCTCCTTGTACTCTCCCCTCCAGGGGCTCCTCAGACCTCCCACTGTAAGACAGCATGTGGGAGGTGGGCATGCTGGGCACAGGACACAGGACATAGGCAGCATGGCAGTCTCCTGAGGAGGCTGCAGCAGGAGTGGGACGTTTCTGTCTGTATCTCACTTTCCTTCTGTTGTCAGGAGCAAATTCAAAACTACACAGCCAGCTCCAGGGGCCACGGTTAGCGGGGAGGACTGGAGATGGCTGTGGGGCTGTGGGTGTGCTCAGCGGCAGGGCTGGCCTTGCATGTGCAAAAGCCCTGGCCTGGATCCCAGCATTGCAAAAACAAAGCTGTGACTGGGGCAACACTACCGAGTCCCTGAGACAGCGCCTCTCACCCACACCCTTGCTCGGTGCTGCTGCAGTGCTGGTCCCCAAGCACTGCCACCGCCTTCCTTGGTCTCTCTCCTGTGCTCTGTATTCCCCTTTTACTCCTGTGACCACTGCCTGTCCTCTCCTAGGGTACCTTCTGTTGTGTTCCACATGTCACTTGATTTGCTTGCATTCATACAATGTATTTTCACTGACTGGTTTTTAATTTAAAGAAGCACATGTGGCTGGGAGTGATGGTGCACGCCTGTAATCCCAGCACTTGGGAGGCTGAGGCAGGAGGATCATTGTGAGTTAGAGACAGCCTAGGCTACCAAGTGAGCTCAAGGCCAGCATGAACTGCACAGCAAGACCCTGTCTCAAAAAGGCAAAACAAAACAAAAAGCACACCATGCTCTGGGTGTCCTGTTGGTTCCTCCTTTCCCTCAGCCCTGTGGTTTCAGACTATTCTCTGCTGCTCTGCAAACGTTGTTGAGAGGCTTTAAGTGCTGCTGGTACCCATCCCTACCACTTCCTTCTCTACTTCCCTGTGGGGAGGAACCCAACTTCAGCCTACTCCCCCAGCAGCAGGGGTGCATAGCCACATGGTGCCCCCTTGGGAGCTGGGGGTTCTCTGCAGTGCACAGGGAGTAGCGGGGCTGGACCCTAGGCCTTCAGCCTGGCACTGTCTCCCGAGGGACCCAGTGGTCCCAGTGCTCCCAGCCCCTCCAGCACCTGCTGCTTTGAGGTGTTGGTTTCTCCTATACCTAGGTTTCTCCTAGACCTCAGGGTCTAGTGGTGCCTGGCTCCATTCTGTACTTTTTTTTTTTTTTTTTTTTTTGGTCTTTTTTTGAGACAGGGTCTCCCTACACAGTTCAGGCTAGCCTTGAGCTCACTTTGTAGCCCAGGCTGGTCTCGAACTTGCAACGATCCTCCTGCCTCCGCCTCCCAAGTGCTGGGATTACAGGTGTGCACCACCATGCCCGGCTTCATTCTACATTCTGATCCCTAATGGATTTAAGCCTCCCTCACCTTGCCCACCTCTACAACAGCCGCAGCACCTCCAACTTCTGGGCACCCTATATCCCAGGTGGGGAGCCCTCCTCCTACCCTGCCCAGGAGAGTGGCCAGCCAGTGCTCACCTTGCTGCAGTGCCCTGCACACCCTCCCCAGCAGCTCCCCAGCCGACGCGCGGTGAACAGGCTCCTTCCTCAGCCCCTCCCGGATGGCCTGGGCTGTGAGAGGGGCACAGGAGGCTGGGATCTCCCTCACGGGTGGAGGCTCACGGGCGATCTGGGGGCCAAAAGACAGCATTCGGGCTTTGTCTCCTGCTCAGCACCCAGCCTTCTGCTCTGCCCTCCCACTGACACTGGGACAGTGTCTCCCACAAGGACTAGAGGGGTCTAGGTTAGACAGGGGTTTGCTCCTCCATGAAAGGGAGACAAGGAGCCAGGCAGCAGGATGCTTGTGTTCTACAGCTCACTGGGAGGCAAGTGGTGGTGACCCATGTCACAGGCAGGAAGGAGTTCTAGCCTGCCCTACATGAGGAGACCCCTCGGATGGGGATCTCCCTGGATCCCCAGATTTGGGTGGTAGCATTTTAATCAGGATCTCACATTGATGACCGGGCTTCCCCTGGCTCAGGCCCTCTCAAGTCTGCAGCACCTGCCTAGGCCTGCTGGCATCCCAGCCCTGTTGTCCTGGCGTCAGCACTGACCTTAAGGCAGAGTGGTCCTCGGAAATACTGGGTCCATGGGTGACAGCCGTTGAGCATGTGCAGCATCATGCAGCAGCTGCTCCAGACGTCCACCTTGGTGTCACAGGGCTTTCCCAGCACCACCTCAGGGGCCATGTGGGTCTCTGTGCCGGGGATGGAGTCACCTGAGACCAAGGTGAGGCAGAAACAGCACTGTGAGCTGGGGCAGGAGCCTGCAAAGGCCGACTCCTGTCAGCTCCTGCATTCCTGGGACTGGTCTCCATGGACAAACTGCACAGCAAGAAAGAAAGCTGCCATGTTGAGCCCACAGGGTTCACTCTGCCAGGCACTCAGGGAAACAAGAGCTGAGCATGTCTCATCCACAACACAGGCTCCGCCCTAAAATGGAATGGGCTGGATGCTGACAATTCAGTTGAGGAAGGCTAATTATTGCTGTGATGTTCCAGGAATACTAGTTAATGGAAAAAAAAAAACACTAATAGCAAAAACTTTTACGCATAAAAGACTACAAAGAGTAACAGCAGATCTTAACAATGTAATTTTCCTGGTGATTTTTTTTTGCTGTTGTTGTTTTTGAGACAGGGTCTCGCTATGCAGTTCAGGCTGGCCTTGAGCTCACTTTGTAGTCCAGGCTGGTCTTGAACCCGCAACCATCCCCCTGCCTCAGCCTCCCCATTGTTGGCATTACGATGTGCACCACCATGCCTGGCTTCATGGTGATTTATGTTTTATGTTTTTGATCAGCTCTACTTTCTTCAAAAGATATTAGAAGTTATTTTTGTACTAAAACACTAAAAAATCCACTAAAGCCATTGTAAGGTGGGAGTTGGGTGCCCAGGTTGATTTGCAACACAACCCTTTAACACACACCATGCGTCAGACCCAGCTGCACACCCTTGCCCAACGTGCTGAGGACCAAAACACTCTGGGTTCCAAATTCTTTTGATGTGGATACTCCCACATACACAATGGTATGTCCTAGGGCCAGGCACACACAGGACATTTATCTATGTGTTGTGTAAACTTTATACGCAGCTCACAGTGATTTTTACAGTATTTTAGTATGCCTGAGTTCAGACTATAGCCTCTCATGAACTCAGGTATGGAATTTTCACTCATGGTATCATGTCAGTGCTCAAAAATGTGCAGATTTTGGAGCATTTTGAATTTCCCGTTAGGGATGCTCAACCAGTACTTCTTTTTTTTTGGTTTTTCTCCAGTACCGGGAACCGAACTCATGACCTTGCGCTTGCCGGGCAGGTGCTTTGCCGCTGAGCTAAATCCCCAGCCCCTTCAACCAGTACTTCTAAAAGACTGCTTTTTCTCTGGTCCAAATGGAACCATTTTATGTTTAATGCCATACATGAGAAAAACAGGGCATGAAGTTGTATTATAATGAGCTAAACAAGGCAAAGAAAAAAAACCATGGAATTCATAAAATAGATTAACTTTCTGGGCAAGAGGAATGTGAAATTTCTTCCTTTTATACTACTTTGTACTGCATTATTCAATAGGCAGAGATTGTTTAAATATTCAGAATAACAGAAGTTAAAAAGGCCTTCACTACCATAGTGCCCAAGCCTCGGGGAGCAGAATGGAATGGGGCACCAGATCCATGACTGCACTGATGCCCAGTGACAGCCTTGTGCTGACCCGGGGTGGCTGCCAGCTGGAGTCTGCAGGTGTCAGGCATCAGGTGCACATGCCAACTGCTTCACAGTGAAGACACACCAGTGAAAGCCATGCCGTCATCGGGAGGGCAGGGGGGCTTTACCTGTGAGCAAAGACTTCCCCAGGCCACTGGGTCGTAGGCACACGGCATGGCCAAAATCGCAGAGGGCTGCGCGGTCCCCATCGCTGGACAGGAGCACGTTGTCAGCTGTAGGCGGGCACCCGACACAGGAGGAAGGGGACAGGTGAGTCACATGGGTCCCCGCCAACGTTGGTTCGGGGTGGCCTCCAGTGAGTCAATTTTCTGGCTGATCCTACATGATAGCTGCTGCTTCTGTTTCGTTAGTCATGGAAGCAGGGGTGTGGTGTGGTGTGGTAGTGGTTAGGAGCAATACACATCACCACTCTGCTCTGACACCCCCTCCTGTCCAGGGGTCCGGGGGTCCAACTAGGAGAGCTTGGAGAATGCTACTCCTTTCCCACGAGCACAGAAGCCTGATCAGGACTTGCTGCCAGGAGACTGACCAGGCAGGAAGCACAGAGGAGCCACGGGAACCACGGCCTCACCTTTGACGTCTCCATGCAGAACCCTTCGTGCATGCAGGTACTCCAGCCCCTCTAATGCCTGGCCCAGGTAGAAGAGGGCCCGGTCCTCTGGTAGACAGCCCTCCTGCTTTATGAGCTGGCCCAGGGAGCCACCTAGGAGACACAGGCAGACCATGTGGGGCTTTCCCAGTTGCCATATGAGCAGAGGGCAGGGTGAGGGCAGATGGAGGAAAGCAGGCTTTCCCAGAGGCCAAGTGTGGATTGGCTGGACAGCAAGTCAACCTTGGCAAAGCAGTGGGAGGGAAGGAGTGGCACTGACTCTCTACCTTCTAGCAGCTCCATGAAGATGTTGACCCAAGGACCTTCCCTCACGGCGCCATACAGAGGGACAATCCGGGGTGAGTTCAGTCCTGCACATGCCATCAGCTCTTCTGCCCGAAACACCTCGACCCGTACCTGAAAGGGCCCAGAGGTGGCTTGAGTCAGGATAAGGGGCTGGCTGGGTGCCTGCCATACTATTAGGACCTCGATGTCCATGCGCAGAGCTGTGCTGCTCCTGGGATAATGCCCAAGCTGCATGGAGCCAAGTGCTGCTGGCCTCAAGGACAATGCTTGGTGCCAGGGGCAATGCTCATACTTGAGATTCCACAGTGCTATCTCCACCATGGGCACAGTCACACAAGACACACTCCTCACAGCCTCCAGGCAAGCTGCTGCCCTCAGGTGCCCAGGACAGGAGCTCCTTCCCCAGATCAACACCCATATCTCTCCAGGAGCAGGTTCTCCCCATCTGCCAGGTGCCTCTGGTCCTCAGCATCCTTTCAGTACTTTTCTTAACTCTTCTTAAAATTAATTCTTTCCCAGAGGACTAAGATGTCCAGACAGGCCTGAGCTTATAGTTTCTGTCTGCAGCTGTTTCCTCAGCATCTGGGGATGAATGTGGTTACCGGAGAGGTTTTGCCTGGGCCACTCGTGCCATGGACTGCCGGGCTGGGGACATCTGCTTTCTGTGAGGGCCAGCGGCTTGGTGTGGTAGGAGAAGCAGGCCCTGGACACAGGCACCTTGGGCTTAGGTCCCCGCCTGGCCATTTAAAATAAGGCTGCACGTGTCACTTCCAAAGTGTTACCATATGTGAGTGGTGGGGACAGGGGCATCTGCCCCAGGGTAGCACAGCCAGTGGCCTGCTGGCCACCAGTGGGCACAACAGAGCCAACTGCAAGGGATGTGTCAGGGCTTGGTGGTCAGTCTGGAGACTCGCTGACTGGGCAAACTGCAGCTCTGATGTGGAGAGGTTTTGGACTTGTGCCTATCAGTGGAAAATATCTCTCTCTGGTTAGAAAGTATCTGGTTTATTTAACCAGCTCATATCAACTTTGACTTTAATCTGCTTCCAGTTCTTGAAGGCACTGAATCTGATGGGGCTGATTCACCAACAGCACTTGCACTGCCAGTGTCTCTAACGTCACCACTACTGGAGTGTGGTAAGGCACCCCAGGGTCCTGCGGGATAATTCTGCATGGGACAGAAAACAGCTTGACTTCTCCTGCACATGGATTCGGCCACCTGCTGGAGAGCATTTGGTTCCAGTGCCAAGCACGCTGCACTCACTGGACAGGACACCTCTAGGAGGCTATGATGGTGCTGTAGGGCAATGTGGAACAGCAAGTGAAGGTGCAGGCGTCTCAAGGCTTGAGACGCTGTACCCGCGTCCTGTCAGCACTTTGGCTGTTTAAGAATGGAAGGAGATTTCTTTCTTTCAACTTACATGTCTTGATTTTCAGATAGGTGATAAATTTCAGAATAAAGACACTGCTTGGTCTGTTTAAGTAAATGGAACTGCTAGAGACTTGGTTTGGTCTGAGGTGCCATGAAACTGAGATGTTAAGGGCTGGGAACCAAGACAGTACAGGAGTCTTTGTTTTAACATGGAAGAGACCTGGGTCTTGGCAGCACTGAGACAGTCTCAACACCTTGACTGACGGGGACTAAGCGGCCTGGAAAACCTCAAACAACAGGGTGCTGGGGGTCCGGGTGAGCAAGGACGCAGGTGGAAGGGTGTTGAGGAGTCAGGGTAGGGGGCCTGGCCTGCAGGGTCTTTGTGCCTGGAGGAGGAGCTGGCCTGGGATGGGCATGCTAGTGGGAACTGGTATTTAAGGCCCACCAACACAGGCCAGGCACTATTTCAACATTTTGTAAGCTTCAGCCTGACAGTCTGTAGGGTGGTTTCATCACTGCCATTTCAGATGAGGAAGCAAAGCCTGGACATTAACTTGCCCAAGGTCACTAGGAATGCAGTATCATACCAGGTTTTGGGCTGGGGAGGCCAGATTCCAGAGCTGCCCACCACTGTGCCCCTAGAAAAACTTCCAGGCTTAGCCATTGCTTGTGGGTTTGCGTGCACACATGTAGGAGGACAGTCGCCAGTGTGTACACACATGTGGACAGTGTTCTGCCCGCAGGCAGATCCACAGCCACCTTCCCACTTCATCTGTCTGCACATCCGATTCAGAACTACTCTCTCCGTGCACCTCCCTCTTGTTTTCTTTCAGATCATTATCTGCTTTATTCTATTGGCTAAAGTGGCAATATAAGCAATTCTCCCAGTTGAAGACTCCAGGAACACGCATTACGGGAAAGTGGCTGTCACAGGACTAGACAGCTCCTTCAACTTCTCACTGGTGGTCCTAGTCCTTGTTCTGTTTTCATCCTAAACATGTCTAGGGCTCACGGCTGCTCCACCTTCGAGCTGTATAACTCTACCCTCCATCACAACCCCAGTTCCTTTAGCTCAGGCCTGTGGGTACTGCCTGTAGGTTCCACCTGTGTCCTCAGGCCTGTACAGCACCTGGCACAGAGCAGGCACTGGTGATCGCTGGTTTGATTTGGCCAAGGCCACAATATCCTGGATCCCAGGACCCCATGCTTGTGTCAGACACCCTAAAATGAGTAGCTCTTAACCTCTTCTGGCCACAGGTCCCTCTGAGACTTTGGTAAGTGGTGTGGTCCTTCCCCATCAAAAGCGTATGTGCCCATACATGTCATGTACATATTCAGGTTCCCAAATCCACAAGTCCTATGAATCTCCCCAGGGACAGCGTTGAGGACTTCCATGCTGACTGTTAGCCCGAGGGTTGTGCATATACTGATAAGGAACTCTATCCACGACACACATCCCATGAAAAATCATGGTACAGAATGTTCTCTAGAGTAGAGTCTTGTTTTTTCTAAGAACCACAACTACGTATGTCTAAAAGTCTAAAAAGATTTAAGTCAAATGCCATTTACCGCTGAGAATGAGATTGGGGAGCAGAGAGACTTGTTCTTCTTGAGTATTATTTGACTTAAGCTTGTGTTTGTTTGCAATTATGAGTTAAGAACAGAGAAAGCCTTAATTAAAAAAACCCAAAAAACCCATCGGCCTTCAACTCTGGTCCTGTAGGCAGTCAGCAAGTGACCCAGGCCAAGGTGCTCTGGAGTGAAGATGGAGGAGTGCAGGGATCAGCACCCGGTGTCACATGTCCTCCCATGGACCCCACATACGAGGGGCTCAGGCCTGCTCTGGTGCCATGGGCAGCCTGGCCGCTGGTCCCAGGACTTCACATGCGCTTGGCAAGTACTCTACCATGGGAAGTCTTTCTCTTGGGGGTCATCCAGCTGAAAAGCCGACAGGATGCACTGCCTGCCCCAATTTTTGCCCTGTAAAGAAGGGCTATGTGACCTGCTGCTGAACCGCTCCACTGGTGTTCCTGGAAGAACAAGGTGGCACTGTGCACGTGGGCAGCCTGGCGCTGAGACATCTGGCCTTGTGTGTGGACCTTCCCAGCTAGGCGTGGAGATGGGAATGGAGTGTGTGTCCTTGCCCACTGCATTAGGGTTGTTTACCTCGTTGCCTAAGACTCGAGGGCCTCAGCAGAGGGACAGCTAAGAGCCAGTGACTAAGCTCTGGGCACTGGGCACCTGACTCCAGGACATTTCACCCTCTCACCCCTCCTTGCAGGGACAGATAAGCCTTCTCTTGCGGCCAGGGAGGGGAACTGCAGCTGAGGGGGTCAGGCACGTGAAAGAAGATGATCCATGTTGGCAAGAACTTGGCCAAGTGGGGGTGGGAGGGTGGTGCTGTTATCTGAGGCAGTCTGTATGAACTCTGGATAACACATGGGCCATCCCATGTCATCCTACCACCCTGAGGTTCAACTCTGGGAAGCCCAATAGCCTGGCCATGCACAGAGCAGGAGAGGTTGATTCACACCAAGCCACAGCCCACACGATGGGGCTGGCGGCATCCACTCTGCGTGGGCTGGCGTGCTGGGCTTGTCTGGACTGGTGACTTGGTCTTTGATTCCTTTTGGGGATCAGTGTCTCTGACATAAGGCACTTGAGACAATGTCTCTGAGCCCACTCTGTCTGTGGACCAAGAAAATCATGCATGAAAATGCTTCTGGGCTGCTGAGTGTGGGCTGGGGACAAGGTTGCTTCCAGTGGAGAGGAGTTGGGGTGGGAGAAGAGGTGCTGTATGTAGGAGTGGGGCTAACACTGGCATTTGGACCTGTAGCAACCGTGGGTCACCTTGGCTCTGGGCAAGTTACCAAGGAGCAGTGGGAGAGGAGAGACTCTGCCACTGCCACAACCCAGGACCCCGTGCCCCTCTTTCCTCGTCCTCTACCACAACAGTGGCTCAAGGCCACATGCTGGGTCGGATGGACGACCTGGGTCTGAACCCTGAACTGCGTTCCCTTGTACCACCTGGAGACAGGGCTTGAATTCAGTATCTCCCAATGCCTATCCTCTAACCACCTATGGGCCAGGTACAGGACACCCCATTAGGTGGCCTGAGGGTCCCTTCACAGCGTGGGTTTTGCAAGGGCAGACCAGGGCCAGGCCTTGTCTTGGGGATTTGGCCCTACAGGCCCTGGGGGCAGGAATGGCCTGGGTGGGTCAGACCCTGAAGCTGGGTGCACACATACATGCATACCAAGGGGAGTGCTGGCGTGTGATCACAGGCTCCCCTGCACTCCACCCCAGGAATGTTCTTGAAAGAAAGCAGAGAGAACACAATGGTCCCCAGAGCCCAGCCACCACCTCCCAGCCTAGTGCCTCCAAGCCTACCTTTTTGACAGCACACTGGAAACCTGTCTGCTTGTCCCTCATCCTGTGGACCTCTCCGAAGGAGCCTCTGCCTAGGCGGGGCTGGTGTGTGGCCCAGTGTACCTCTTCGAGGTACTCGTAATCCACCGGCTTGAGTTTCTGGGTGGCAGATAGAGGTAATGTCAGTGGCTGGGCCAGCCCAGGTCTGGTGGTCATGGTGAAGAAGGCCAGGTCTGCAGCTAGTAGCCCTGTCAGGACTGTTGGGCTGAAGCAGGGATCTGCCAGGGGGGAAGGGGAGGGCAGAAAGGGGCAGGCAGGAGGGGGTGGTAGACAGGGCCTGCTGGATGCTCCTGGTGACAAAAAAGCCTCTTGGGTTTTTGACAGGGACGGAAATGGAATTGCCAACAACCTTGATGATGGATAAAGACCTTGGGAGCTACCAGGAGTCACAAGACAGGAACGACAAAAGGGTGGAGTCACAGGAGAGCAATTAGAAGGCAACAGACCCCAGTGTGGGCTGCATGCCGGTAACTCCAGCATTTGGGAGGCTGAGGCTGATCTTCAGGAGGCTGAGGAAGATCACCGTGAGTTTGAGGCCAGCCTGGGATATATAGTGAGTTCAATAATGGCCTGAACTACACAGCAAGACCCTGTCTCAAAGAACAAAAAAACAAACCAAAACTAAAACAAAACACCTAAAATGTAAAGCTCAAGTAAACTGCTTCAAGTTGCTACGTTATTCAGGACAAGAACTAAAGGAACAGGAAGGAGGTAGCAAGATAGTAAAATCTCATCTTCCCTCAGCCCAAGAAGCTTCCTCAGTTTCCCAGAATGGATGTTATTCCCACAACACACACAACTCAGCTCCAGTGGGGTATCTGACTGGAAGAACTGAAAATGGGGGCAGCTAGGAAGGCTGTGGTTGAGGCTGCAGGTGGGGACACAACGGTGCCACCCCCACTGTGGCTGGGTCTTGGACGTCCCCAGGGCCTGTGTGCTGAGGGCCTAGCTGCAGCCTGTGGAGCTGCTGGGGGTGGTGGGCCCTTCTGCAGTGTGATGGGGAGGGAGGAAGTCGGGTCCCGGGGGTGTGGCCTGGAGGAGTGCACGGGGACCTTTCCTGTTTGTCTCACGGTGAGGTGAGCAGCCTCCTCCAACAGGTGCTCCCACCTTGAGGTACTGTGCCACCACAGGCCCAAGGCAACCGAGCCAAGGGACGGAGGGCCAAGAATGCTGACTCTGTGAGCCCTCGAAAACCTTCCTTCTTTGCACTTTTCAGACATCTTCCATGGTAATGAAAGCTGACTAACAGTCCTGATGGACCTGTGGTGGCTTGCTGCCACAGGTACAGCTGATGGAGAGCCACCCTAGGGTCTGCTGGCTTGGAGGGACATGTTACTTGCCCTGCCATGGCTGTAGGCCTAGATGCTAGTGGCAAATGTGTAAGGGCAGGAGTCTAGATTACTTACCTCAGTAAGTAGCACCCCCTCATTGTCCTCAGTTTCAGGGCTGGGCCTCTGGGGCCTGAAGCCCCCTGCTGACCAGGTCTTGGCCAAGGTGGCCAGGCTATGGGCCTGGCCCGAGCTCACACTGCCACGCAGGGCGTGCACCAGGTATTCTTCCACAGAACACTTCTCCTGGGCAGGAGCTGGGCAGCTGGGCTCATGGGCTGGGCTGGGCAGTGGCTTCTGACTGTTCGTATAGATTTGTTTGCCGAGAGCTGGGCCAGGTAGGGGCTTCTGGCCATCTGTACAGGCCAATTTGCTCAGGACCAAGGAGTCCAGGGGGTGTGGCTTCCAGGGCTGGAGCGGATGGAAGGGGAAGGGATGGGGCAGTCTGCTGTAGGGGAAGTGGTGGGGGGAACGGGGCAGGGGGCCTGTGTCCCAGGGATGATGTAGTTTCCACACATGATTTAGACACTGCAAGGGGCTGATCAGTTTGTGGAGCTCCGGTCGCGGCAGCACTGGCCGAAGGCCATCATCGAGTTTCTTAAAGCTGAGGTGGCTGGGGCCTGGTTCCTTCAGAGGATTGGTGAACTGGGGGATGTTTCTGACATACAGGGCGCCAAGTGGAGGCTCATCTTCCTGTGGGGAAACACGGTGTTAGGATGCAGGTCCATGAGTGGTAGCCTGGCCAGGGTGGTGGGTCTCACCTGCACTGGCACTGTGCAGCTCTCCTGCTCAGGGGTCCTGGGCAGGGGCTTGGCCAAGGCCACTCCAGCCTGCACCAAGGACTTGGCGCTCTTCTTCCTCCGTTTCTTCCGGGCTTTGCTGCGACGTTTTCCCTTCCAACACACAGGGGCCATTTGGCCCTCGGTTGCATGGGCCACATTGTTGGGGATTTGATCAAGACTCTCCAACTGGCTGTCAAAAGAGGGAAAGGTCCACCTCGTGAGCCAAGAGGTGGAAGATGGAGAGGCTCAGATGGCCTTTAAGAAACTGAAGACAAAAAAAAAAAAAAAGAAACTGAAGACAGCCTCGAGCACAGCTGTACATTGCTGGACACAGGGCTCATCCTGAGAAAGGCAGTGCTAGGTGACACTGCTGTGCAACTCTCACAGAGCATACTACTCGGGCAGGGACAGTGCAGTGTCACTGCGGAACACTGTCTTCTGGGACCACTGCTGGACACGGCACACTGTTGACCAAGCTGCCACTATGCGGCACATGACCGTACTCATGTGGGCCTGCAAGGTGCCTACATCCCAAGAATACCAGCCTTCTCATTTGCAAAATGAGTGCAGCATTTCTGCCAGGCGGTGGGGGGATATGCCGGCTCAGTGCCTTTCCCCGCAGGGGCCAGGGCTCAGTGTTTCTGGGGCAGCTGTTCTCTGGGAGCTGCCCTGGATGGTTGTCCTCAGCTCTCATGGACAAGAGTAAGCCTGCTTCTGTGTCCTCTGCCCCGTGGGGTCCTGGAGCTCCCAGCTGTTGCAGGAATGTGGGGAGCTGCCAGCATGGACGGTCTGCCTGTGCCAGGGTACCTGCCTCTCTCTGGTGGCCTAGAGGCTGCCATCACCACAGCTCTGCCGGGCTGCCATTTGCCAGGGACTGAGGGAACTGGCCATAGGAGAGTCCTGGAAAGGCTGCTGCAAAGCAGCTGTGGACACCATGCCTCAGTGCCCAGCCTCACCCTCTGCTCCATAGAAGGCAGCCCCACCCCATGCCTTGGGACCACTGAGGCCTTCAGGCTTCTCAGCAGCTCAGCCCCGAGAAGTGGGCTCATCAGAAACACCATCTGTGGCCCAAGAGGCAGCAGAAGCATTGTGAAGAATTTGACCAAGTACTGTGCCTTTCCCATTTCCATGGCAAAGCTACCCCAGACCCCCTACCTTTTTTTGAGGGGGTAACCAGGAATTGAACCAGGGTCTTTGCACTGAGCTACGTCCAGCCTTTTTTTTTTTTTTAAATTTCGAGACAAGATCTTGCTAAGTCACTAAGTTGCCCAGGCTAGATTCAAACTTCTGACCCTGCTGCCTTAGCCTCCCAGAGTGCCAGTATTATAGGTTTGAGCCACTGTGTCTGGCTCCCACTTGCAAGAATCTGCTTGGTGGTAGAGGGGGAGATTGTTTCTGGGTTGAGCTCTTAGTTGCAGAAAGCCATCTCTGGGTGGGAGATGCACAGGCTGGGCCAGCCCTGTTGCCCACTTGTGTGCCTCTTGCAGAGGACACTGTAAGTGGCCCTCTGGGCCTGCACTAGTGGCCACACACCAGCAAGAGGCGCTGCTGCTCTTGGTGCCCTCCCTGCAGATGGAAATTGGGCTGAATCAAGAATTTGGGAAGAATGACAGTAACTTGTATGCAGCTCTATGAGCCATGAGCTTCTAAAAGGTTTCCATGGCCAAGAAAGCTGGTGGCTGCCAGCAGTGGAGCCCTCCTCTCACCCTGATGCGCTTACCTATACTGCTTCGAGCCCGCGAGGAAGACTCGTCCTGAAAAGGTGGGGCTGAACTCCTGGCTGTTCTCACCTTAAAGGTAAAGGAGTTGGGTTAGCAGAAAGGTGCGAAAGCGCAGGGTCTTAGCGCCCCATTGGGAGCTGTCCTCTTCCAGCTCAACATGTGCAGAGTCGATGTCCACAAGCGGGGGTTCAGGGTGCCCCCTTCACTTCCGGTGACACCTCAGGGGCCAGCCTGCCTAGCAGCCATCTCTTAGTGTCAGCTTGGGCAACAGTAGCCCATGTATGGAGCTCGCAGTCACATGCAAACAGGGGGGGTACCTGCTGCCTCACTGCCTGACCCTCAGCTCTCTGAAGAAGCCACCAGAGGCAGTAGGGATGCCAGGGTACATCTCCATTGATCATGTGTGAGGGAGGGAGAGGAAAACTGGCCTTCTCCGTCCTTCGAGGAGCTCTGACATACCTACTGGTCCCGCAGACTGGGAACAGGGCCCTCCTGCTCTGGTGTGGCCCCTTGGTTGGCTGGTGAGGCCCTGCCTGGCGACATCTGGAGCTCCCGCCCTGTTGCCTCGCAGTGTCTCCCCTGCTCAGGTCACCACGGGCACAGGCTATCTGCCACACCTCCCGTGGTCCATCCTGGTACTTTCACAGCACGCACTGTGCACTGGTCCTGGGAGTAGACCCCCCAATTCTCTCATCTTTGGTGGTTCTGGGGATGGAACCCAGGGGTTCTCTACCACTGTGCTACATCCCCAGCCCGTTTAATTCTTTATTCTGAAACAAGGTCTTACTAGGGTACTAAGTTGCCCAGGCTGTGCTCAAAATTGTGATCCTCCTGCTTTAGCTTCCTGGGTCTTATGAGACTCTCAGAGTGGTCACCCTGACCTCTGTCCTTGGAGACTGAGGGCTGGCCCACAGCACCCCATCACTTACACTCTGCTTGGGCGATAATGGAGATGGCGGATGGCCCGCCCTCGGAGCCTTCCTTGGCTGTGCCTTTGGTGATCACATCGTTTAGGAGGCCCCACTTCCCACAGAACACAGGGCTCTTGCCCATGGCTTCCAGCTGCATGCAACTCTGCTTCTTCGCCAACACCTGGGGCTTCTCCTTGGCTTTGGCAAGCTCCTTCTGCTGCTCGACTGCTGAGGCAGGGCTGCCTGGGCAGGCCACTTCCATCACTGCCATCTCCCAGGCTCACGCTCCCCCTGGGGATAGACACAGAGCAGGTCACTCCTAAGCCCCCCAACAGCTGGGCCAGGCCAGGCTTGGGCTGGAAGGGGACACGGGGCTGAGGCTCTTGGCCTCTCTGCTACCTGTGCTCACCCTCCAAGTGTACAGGAGCAGCATCTCACCACGGACACACACTTTGTGCAGAACCCTGAGTGGACCATACCCTACATACACAGATACCCTACAAGTGCAAGGCCAAATGGGGATGCAAACATCAGGCTGCCTATTTCCTGCCTTGACAACGGCTGAAGCTTTTGCTATCATCTGGCAGACCAGGACAGGTGGTAAACCCCACCCTCCAAAACATTCAAATCATCAACCACACACGAGCTCTGCCTTCACAGGGGACATGTCTATGCTGTCCACAGGGCCCCTTCTCCAAGGAGAGAGGTTCAGGTCTGGTCTGTCCACCAGCAGGAGGCAGGTCTCCCCCCGCTTATGTGTACCATCACACATCCCTTCACAAGAAATGCATCATCAGGCAATATCATCGTTGTATGAATACCAAAACTATGCTTATACAAACTAAGATGCCTATGACATGGGCAACATGACCTTATAGGGTCACTGTCATACAAATAAATACATCAGGCCTATCATTGATCAAAACACCATTATGCACTGTACAACCGCATGTGTGTGTCTAATGCAGTCTAACACAGCCTGCACATGGTGTTCCCCACTTGGGTCCTTCCCCAAGGTGCATCTGCTGGTAGCTCTCCTTTAATGTCTAAACTCATTTGCTGAAAACTTCTAAGTAATGTTTTTCTCTACTTTCTTTTTCCTTCCCATCCTTCCTTATTTTAATTTTTTAAATTTTGTTGCCCTGGAGATTGAACCCAGAGCCTTTACATGGAATGTACATGCCCATCCTTTTTTAAAAAATACTTTTGAGGCAGGTTCTCACTAAGTCACAAAATTGCCCAGGCTGGGCTCAAACCCTTGATTCTCTAGCCTTAGCTTACACATGGTGCCAGCAGCCACCATGCCCAGTTGTTAATACTTTTTGTTTCAGTGGTGTCTACATTGGAAGCCTTAACACCAACCAGTACCTCTAGATATCTGAGGACAAAAGACAAGGCTCCATCCCTCTGGGTTGTCTCTAGACCAGCCCTGGGCCTTCTCAAGCAAGCTAACGGACAGCAACCCCACACAGCCAATAATCTGTCCCCACACTATGTGGACTGGAACTGTCATGGAAAACAGTAGCAGAACAGCAGCAACCGAGAGTGTTAGCATGCGATGCCTTTGCAAAAGGGCAGCCCTCTGGGGAGTAAGACAGGCTAGTTTCCAACAACTGCTTCTGACAACAGGTTGGTCTTACGGACATATACCGTCTCCGGATGCAATGCCCTGAACCCTGCATTGGGCCTCTGTTCTCAGGGCAGAAGGGCCGATCATAGGGAGCCAGGCCTCCAACGCTGCTGGCCTTTTGCCCCAGGAGGCCTGCAGGTTAAGTGAGACTAGAAAGTTGACCAATACCAGGTCCAAGCCTTCTCCTGCAGAATCTGCTTCACTCAGATTTCCCACCAAGTTGGCTCTGCAAGACAACCGACTGGACTGGGCGGTGGCGTGGGATCTGCTGAGCTCTGTTGACTGGTCTGCTCTCTGCCTTCAAGGGCTCTCACCTCCACCCAGAGCAGCCTGGCTTCTGGCAGGGAGGCCTGGCTTTGGGGGCAAACATCGAGCAGCTGAACGGCACCTTCATGTTCCTTGGTCACTGTGGTGAATGGACAACTGGTGGTCAACTTGTAACATCCAGCTGAACTTAACTAGTGTGGTGCTGGGAGTGGGAGGCCCACCTGAGGATTGTTGCCAGCAGCATAAGAGGCAGAACTGGAGGAGAAGAGGAACAGAGGCTGTCGGAAGCTGAGAGAAGCTGTTCGATACTGTTAGAAGCTAGAAGGAGCTGTTGGTTCTCTTGGAGGAGCTTGTCATGCTGGCTTTCCTGATGGACTCAGCTGTTCTCATCATCCGAGGAGCTTGGGACCTTGTTGTCACTGAGAATGGCTTCGGTTCACATTGGGGGAGCTCTGCTCCTCACTTTGAGCATCGTTTCCTGGCTCCAGAGGGGAAGATGATGCACTACTCAGTTTCCTGGAGCTGGAGAAGCTTGTTGCATTCCTGATGGGAACTCAGTTTTCCTCATCCATGAAGGAGCTCGAGACCTCACTGTTGCTGAGGATGGCTGTGGTACTTTTCATTGGGAGCTCTGGTTCTTACTTTGAGCATTGCTGCCTGGCTCCAGTGCAGATCCCTCAGCCTGCCAGCACAGATCCTTCATCCTGCTGGCACAGACGTGCTAGCTTCCTACTGACCTTTGGGCCTTTTCAGTGCAGATCTGTGAAACAGGCCTGCATGAGGCACTGTCATGGGCTTTTGGCCTCCAGGTGGACTTGTGGGAGGCATTGTTATGGGCTCTATCTAGGTCTTCAGTGGGAATCATGCAGGACATGGCCATGGGATCCAGGCCCTCAGCTAGATTCTTTCGTCTTTATGATGTTGACAGACTTCCTGCACTTTCTTTTTGTATATGATTCTTTGGGTGACTATTATAAATAATCTTACAAAATATGTGTCCTGTACTATATTGTTTCCTTTGCAAAACTCCGAACTACAACAGTCACTTAACAAATCTAAGGAATATTCTTTTTTAAATAAAAAACCCTAAAATTTCATAGCAAAACAAGAGAACAATAATTAATATTTTATGTATCGTTATCCTCATAGTAGTTACTCAGAACACAAGACATAGACCAAAAGGCAGGTGAATGCTTCTAGGCAGGCTGCTTTTCTTTTTTTGGTTGTTTTGAGACTGAGTCTCACTATGTTGTGGAGGTTGGCCTTGAACTCAACTTATGTAGCCCAGGCTGGCCTTGAACACACAGCGATCTTGGTGCCTCAGCCTTCCAAGTGCTGGGATTACAGGCCTGTGCCAGCCTGCCTAGCAGGCTGTTTTTCTTGTGATCAGTTTTCCACATGCTGCATACCCTCCCAGCCCTCTCCATAGCAAGAGAACCCACCAAGGATGAGAGCAGACCTTCACTTTCCTAGCTTCTTTACCAGGGGCAATGTGCCTTATGGGAAGAACCAGGGCCTCATTAGGCAGACTCTCCAAAGGTCACACACAGAACAGAGCAGGGCCAGGTTCAGGGCACCTCCTGGAAGCTCATGGTCCTTCTTGGTCAAAGGCTCCTGAGGGCAGAGGAGCCCTGTCCACTGTGGTACCCTCAGGACACACAAACAGGACAGTTGATGCTGGTGGAATGAGGGAAGCAAACGAGCGAGAATGCTTTCCATGACCTTCAGAGACCAAGGATGAAGAGGGAGCCGAGCTGACGGTGAGGAAGGTGAGGTCACCGGGTCACTGGCTGTGCAGGCCTGGTGTGTTCGGCTCCAGCAGCCTGTATTCCAGAAGCTCGCACCTAGCTGAGCTCCTCCAGCAGCTGCCCTCTTGTCCCAGTGGCTAGCTGGCAGCAGACCAGGCCCCTTTCCCTGTGGAAGAGCTGAGGCTGCAGTCATGCCCGCCCCTCATAACTCAGCCACAGCCTGTAGCAGGGGCACAGGAGGCTAAGGAGAAGCTGCCCCAACAGATCCCAGCTGGAACTGTGAAGGACACAGGGATCAGTCTACCCTCACCTCCTGGGGCATTGAGTCACCTGTCGGGAGCAGCAAAGCTTCTGTGGCTGCTTTCCTGTGCCATATGAGCATGACTCAGCCCTGCACAACAGCCTCCAAGCTCAGGAGGCTGTTAGTGGATGCCTGGCCCAGTGACAGCGCTCCGTGCACATGCACAGGCCATCTTCCCCACTCCCCGTGGCCCATATTAACCCTAGGACACTGGCCAGGTGGCCTTCCCGGCCCTTGGCTTTATCAGAAGGCTCTGACTACTTCCTCCTACAGCATTTGAGTGGGGCCTATGTGGGAGCTAGTTCTGGCAAGCAGGACCCTACCCACAATGCAGCCTGGACATTCTCCCCACCCCACTGCAGCCTCTAGTGCCCTCAAACCCTGCTCTCTGTACCACACTGGAGATGAGGGTGTGAGTGGTCCGGCAACCACAGCACAGGCCACAAAAGCAGGGAAGGAAAGGAGTGGAGTTTGTCCAGGGTGCCTTATGGCCTGATCTCCTGTGTTACCTTGACAACTCCTGCAGAAGTCCGGGGCAGGGAGGAGTGGGGCAGCACCAGATCAACTCTGGGCCACATGTGTGCAAGGAGCTCTTCATCTGGCTTCGAGGGAGGTCTGGAGCCCCCAAAAGACCTGCAATCTGTGTTTCCCCAGGGAAGAGGGCACAGCATTCCTTGGGTTATCCAGGGGCTGCTGCTCCCCCAGGAGGCTGCTCTAGGTGCCCTGGAAGGTCAAAGCCAGGTGAGCGCTTCCTTGCACTGGAAAAGCAAGCTCTCTAATGCTATGGCTGCCAATCAGAGTGCAAGTCAGATGACCATGAGTTCTCAAAATGTGCTCAGCCTAGACCTGCTGAATCAGTCACTGTCATTAGACCCAGAGTCTGTTTTCTTTTTAACGGTGCTGGGGATTGAACCCAGGGTCTCAAACATGCTAGGCAAGGGTTCAATCACTCAGTTACCCCCAAGCCCTTCTTACTTTTGAGACAAAGTCTCACCAAGTTGCCCACTAAGTCTCACTAAATTGTGATCTTCCTGCTTCAGCCTCTCAAATAGCTGGGATTATAGATAAGCACCACTGTGCCCTGGCAACAGATGCTACTACTGGCAAGCTCTCTGGATAAGTCTGACATCAAGAGCGAGGGACTGCCAGTCAATCCCTGCCCTGATCTCAAAGGCTCCACTGTCTACACCGTAGCTGCCAGCAGCACATGGCTGTTCACATTTGATTACATTTAAATAAAATTTCAAAAAGCCAGTTCCCCTGTTGTACTAGCTACCCTACTGGGCAGGGTAGATGGAAAACATCTCCATCATGCACAAAGGTCTACCAGGCAGTGCTGTCTAAA